GTGTCTGAGTCCATTTGATGATGCTGAAACAGTACACCGCAGACTGAGAAATAGGTAAAGAAAAGATACTCACTTTCCACAGTCCTAGAAGCTGAGAAGTGCAACATGGCAGAGGGCATCACATGACAATCAAGCACAAGAGAATGCACAATCAGTTCTCTCTTCCTCTTCTTATAAAGACACTAATCTCATCATAGGGGCCAATCTCACGACCTAATTTAACACTATCTCCCCAATGCCCTGCCAGTTAATACCATCAAAATACGAAAGTGACAATAAAATTTCCAACATAAGAATTTTAGAGGACATCTTCAAACTCTAGCAATTAGGCTGAAGCAAAAAGGGAAGTGGGTGCAGGTGCTTAGTGGTTAAGATGCCTCTTGGTATGCCTGGATCCCACATGCCCATATCACAACGCCTAGGTGTGGGTCCCAGCTTCACTGATTCCATCTTCCTGCTAATGTGTACCTTGGGAGGCAGCCAGTAATGACTCAACTAGTTGGGTTTCAGTCACTCACATGAGATCCAGATTGAATGCCCAGCTTTGGCCTGAACCGGCTCTGACTGATGCAGGCATTTGAAGAGTCAGTCAGCAGATGGGAGATCTCTGTCCTTAAAATAAATAAGAAGAAAAAAAATTTAAAAATGGGACATGTTTTTCATTTAACTTTTTTCATAGTGATTGGATAATCATAACAGATTATGAAGTAAATAAAAGAATGATTTTAAAAAAGCTAAGGAAAAATGGAGATAATTAAAAAAATTTTATGACATTTTATCTACAAACATTGTTTTGTGGATGTATGAAAGCCAATTTACTTTCTGAAATATCTTTTGATTAGTAATGTGGTTGGAAAGAAAAATTATCTCCCTTACCTGCCCTGAGCTCTAATTTTACTTTTTTGGTGTAACTACTGAGGAATTTTTAATTTGGCTCATCACTTCAGTGGGAATTCAGTGCGCATAAGGGGCACATATGTAATTGGCAACCTAATTTTTCTGCTTTCATCAAATGGTGCAATGCCAAATCTTCATTGAACTTGCCAGTTAAATGCACTTGGGAACCAAACAGCAGCAAGCATACAAGAGATGAAAATGAACAAATTGGAAAGACTCATTAGCTGTCTGTTTTCCTATCACAACAAAAATTGAATCATTGAAAGTGTTGCAAAGTGGGAAATTCTACTTGAAACATTAAACAACCTTAAAAGAGAATATTTTATTTACTTCTAAAATGTTGCTTATTATAGTTTATAAATGGAGTTTCTGGTGCAGATTTTTTTCAACAAACACACAACACAGTTAAAATGAATCAACTTCTCTGAAGCATGTGTTTAAGTCCTGTATTTTCTTAAATCCTTCTGGCCTAGAATATATGATTTCTAGTCTTTATCTGGAAAGTAATATTGTCAGAAATTAAACAAAAAATGTTGGCTTTATTTAATACCTTAATGAAAAAAGGCCATTGACAGATTGTCACGGTTCTCACTAATTATGAATGCAATTTGAGAGTGTGAAAATTATAATCAGTTGTGGTTAGAAAAAATGCCCTTGAAATATGTGGCCTAATATATAATTTTTAAGTATGAAATTAAATGAAGAATTAAAGAAATAATTAAAGAATCACAGAAATAAAGAATTAAAGAACAAATGAACTGAGACAGTAAACACAGAAGAATCTTACCCAATATGATTGCACATCATCTTTCAAGAGTGACAAGATTTTTAAAATGTCTATTTATAGTTTTTATATAAATCACACATTTATTCACTAGTTTCAAATGTTCAGTAATATCATTTCTACTAAACCTTTTTCTGCAACCACAGCAGGTTGCACTTATTAAAACGGTGGAGAAAAGTTTCTTAACTTTTTCCATGTATGAGTTCAAGTATATTAAGACTTCTTAAATCCTTATTGGTTCTAAAAAGTGAACACATTGCAAACCTTTCCTGTATTGTAAAAGAAAGGAGGAAGGATGGGAAAAGCCAATGGTTTGTAAATCAGCTTACTTCATACTTATCACAAGCTCTAAAGAAACTATTAAAACTGTTAACCGAGTCAGCAGTTCTGAATGGGAGGCAGTGTAGACAGCAGATTGAGACAAATAGGCATAGTTCAATCTTAGTTTAATCTTAGATTAATGGTATACCCTCCAAATTCTTGATGGTAAAACTGAGAAAATAATAGCTGTCTCATAGGGCACACATTAAATCCAAACATCCTTTGTTAGTATATTCATTTTTCAGCGCTCAAAGAAGCTATAAGGTCCCAGATCTACACATAATTGACATGAATGTACTCTGGTCCCAGCTTTGCTGCCCTTTCTTACCAACACTTTTTTGCATGCCCTCCTTAGGATGTCTTCTTTACAAATATATCTTTATCACACGCTGAAACCACATTAGAGAAGAGATACATCAATATGAAAAGGTAGATCTTGTTGACGCAATATAAGGGGTCAACATACGATGAAACTCTGATATATGGCATGTGAATTGTCAACCTTGCTGCCACCTAACCTTCTAAGTATCTTTCCCATTTAGGTAGAAAAAAATGTTTCCCACAGTTGTCCCTGAAAGTAGAGTTGTCACTAGGCCAAAATATACACCAACCACTATGATTCATTCAAAAACACACCACGTTTTAACCTCCATATAATCACATTTAGATTTTGTAGAAGTCCAGTTAGAGTTCATAGAAACACAGATGCACACAGACACACAGACACACAGATACACACACACACACACACACACACACACACACACACCTTTGAAAGAAGTGAAGATTGCCTGATACCTGGAGCTGTTTCTCATTAAAATGTAGTGTGAGAGGCTCTTGTAATCTTGGTAGAAGGCTAGTAACAGCCATCTAGAGAGGTGGTGTCAGGTGCACACACTATACATTGACAACGTATCAGGGAACTTCAAAAAGCTCGTGCAGAAATGTATTTAAAGGGAAAATTATTTTGGTTGAAAAATTATAAAATCCATGCATTTGTACTATTACCTAGCATATACATGATGGGTTTAAAAAATGGTCCACACACACACACACACAGTTTGATGCACTCCGTATTGCTCGCTAAAGATATAAAAATGGGAGTGGAGATCTATACAGGAGGGTGCATGGAAGAGTTCAAGACCCAGTGCGAACCTGGAAGGAAATGAGGCAATGTCAGGGGAGAGGGGATCAAGGGAAAATAAATTAGGTAAGCAATAGCTTCATGCATCAGAAGTCTTCTCCATCTCGAAACTGGCAAATTTTCTACAGGGGCCATCAATCAAATGATGTCAAATTGGTAGCTGGTTCTGTTTGCAAGGCCTGCGTTGTCATGCACCTTATGTGTAGGAACACAAGTCCCACTCAGTCACATTCACAACGCTTCCATTATCTTACAGAAAAAAAAAAAATTGATTGTGGCAAATGGTTCCTGAGAGGCCTGACCTGCTTAAAGGAAATAAGCCAGGTTTCTTTCTTGTTACTGTGGAAGGAAGACACTTGTCAGGCTGTGACTGGGGTGGGTGAGGAAGAGGAAAAGAAAGAACCTTCTAATTTCCTCCCTTGCAAGTGGGAGAGGACGAAGCCCACGCGGGTGGCTTGGAGAGAAAGGATACAGTGCATTTCCATGCGCTCGGGACTGTCCCTGTTCTTTCGTCTTGACCGGCCGGTGCACTTGGACTCGACGTCCACAAGGATGGGCTGGGGAGACAGCCAAGTCAGCATGGCCTGCCCGGCCCCGCTTCCCTAAAATGAAAACTCAGCAGCCGGCCGGCAGTGGCAGCGCGCGCGTCGATGCATGAGTATGCGCGCGCGTCGCGGCCGGCGCAGGGGGCCGGGGCCGCCCTGGAGGCCGCCTCCGCCGCACCCCACCCCCGCGCCCTCCCCGCTATAAAGGCCGCGCTCGCCCGCACCCTCCGCACAGCCCGGGAGCGCGGCCTGCCGGGGAGGTGGCCTCGCACCCCGTACACAGTCGCACTCCGCGCGCTCACACTCCTGGAAGCGCCTCCCCACGTCCCTCCCCTGCCCTCCTCTAGCTCTGCTCTTCTCTCCCTCACCACAAATAGTCGCCGAACGACTGCCAATCCGCCTCTCTCTCCACAACATGACTGACTGGGAAGCGGTGGCTCGGGCAGAGCGGCTCTGCTGGCGCAGGCAGGAGGAGCAGGAGGATTATTAAATAACGCAGCTCGACTCCGTGCAACTGGGAGTGGAGCGAAGGAGCCCTACGGCCGAGACGGGGGAGGGAGGGCAGAGGAGGGGACCAGGAAGGACACCCCCGTGCCCCGAAGACACAAATCCCTCAGTGCCCGGGAGCAGCCTTAACCAGCGGCGTGGAGCCCTCAAGGTAGTAACGCCCCTGGTGCCCCCGCGTCCGGGGGGTTGCGCGCCGCGTCGCCGCTGCGCCGGGACTGCACCCGGGGGATGAACGCCCGGCAGGTGACCGCGCGGTGCCCGGGTCGCCTGGGAGCAGCCCCCAGCTGAGGCCCGGGGCGCCGGCCGTGGGCCCGGCGTGCGCCGCGCGGGGACCTGGCCTTCCGGGCGGGGTGGGAGGGAGGCGGACGGGCTCGCTCGCCGCCGGCCCGCGACTCCCAGCGCGCTGCGTGGCCATTTCCTGCGCGCTCGGTTCCCCGCGGCGGCCCGCTCCAGGGCGATGCGGAGCGGGGCCGGCCAGGGAGGCAAGAGTTGGCGCAGGCTCCGGGCTGCCCCTCCCCCCCCCCACTACTTCGCCACCCAGGTCCCGCAGGTAGGGGCGGCAGGCCAGCGCCAGCGCCCGGGCAGCGGGGGACGGGGCGGGGACGGCCGTGGAGCGGGGGAAGGGGAGGAGGTGGCAGGGAGCCGGAGCTCCCGGAGGAGCCGCAGTGCCGGGGCCGGGACCGCCTCTTGCCTCCGCCCGCTTGTCCTCTGGCGCCGGCTTCCTGGATTGGAGGCGAAAGCCTTCCCAGCGGCGGCTGGAACAGCAGTGACTTTGAGTGAACAAATTGCTTTGTGGTGGCGCTTCAAGGGCCCCTGGGTGCGTGTGCGTGTGCGTGTGTGTGTGCGCGCGCGCTCGTGTTCCTTCGTGTGTGTTCCCGCTCGGGACTAATCACTGCCTTGGTTCACCTGAGCAGGAAGTCAGCCCCGCGCTGAACCGCAGGTGGCTCCGCGGCCCCCCTCGACCGTTGGCTGCGGTCCCGATACCAGCTAGGGGCTGGGGTGCGCGCAGGGGTGACGGAGGGATTTGTGAATGGTGCTGCTCTGCGCGTGGCGGCTGAGCCTTGCTGATGTCAGGGAGGAGGTATCCGGAGTGAGAAGAATGGCTATTTATGGCAAAGAGTTGTGAAATTTCTCGGGGTTTCCTTGAGTGTATCCTGAGCGTCTCCCTCCTCCTCTACTCTCTGAGAATGAGAAGCAACCCCCTCCTACCCGCCCCGTCTCGTGGGACCTCATGTATTTGCAGGTAGAAAGAAAAATCCATTTTTGAAGTCACAGCGCTCTTACCTTTTAATGTTTTTATGACTTCTCCTACCTCTCCTCAATGGGAGCCTTAAGACAGAAAATCCCTGCTTAGTTTTAACAGCTTTAATTTCTGAAATCCTTTCGCTTGGATACCTTCCTGCTGAAAAGTAACCCCCGCTCCCCACACTTAAAAATAACATACTCATGTTTTACATAAAGCCTTGGGGAGGACAGAGAAGCAAACAGCTAGTTGTTTTATATATCTGTTGCTACCGATTTTTTTTGAAAGCTGGTTCTTAAGGGGAGGTTTTTAATCCTCTTAGTCCAATCTACAATGTAAGTTGTTTCGGTTTCTTTTTCTGTTGCTTTGTAACAGGTACAAATTCCAAAGATATACCTTGAGCCACAGAACTGACCTGGGGCAATGTCTGTCATACTTGAGGAAATTTATATTCTTAGAAGTAGCAACCTATGGAGCTGATGATTGGGGTGTTATTGTAATTATTGTAAGACAATGTCCCTAATATATGATATTGAGATGTTTCTAAGTGCTTGCCTAACATAGACACTCCTTCATGTAAACCATACAGCAGGGACAGAGAAGGAAGGAGAACTGGTCAACCTACTGTGGGAAATGGTTTGTCTTCCTGAGATTTCTGAGGACCCTGATGTTTGATCAGAACACATTCCTCCAGGGTGAATGTAGCTTTCTTTAGTGGTCTTGTTTGTTTGAAAGATAAAGAGTCCAGAATTTGATATTTTGATTGGGTTAGGTTCATACTAGTTCAGAACATATTCCTAATTTTGCATCTTATGCAGTATTACGTTAGTCTTAGATTAGAACTTAGTTGGAGCTCCCCACTCTGAAAAGTTCACTGCCCCAAATAATTGATAAGTAGAGATAATGCTAAATTTAAAAATGTAGTGAATGAATTCTATTACTGCACTCATGTAAAGTCCCATTGATGAATATTTCTGTTACTGTCAGAGAATCAGCACTTAAAGATACTTACACTGTTAAATGTTAATTTCCATCAGACTCATGAAGTATAGGATGAAAACTGTTTTTACAACAACAGTTATTCAACTTTGCATTGTATTTTGTTACTCACAACGTTCCCGTGACAGGCCTATCATGTGTGAAGTGCTGCCTAGGCATTGTGTAGGACTATGAGGTCCCCCCTCCCCATTCTTCACAAACTACTGGCCAGTTGGGAGGAATATGATGTTGATGCTTAAACACAGAGTTAACAGCCCATGACAATAAGAGATTACATGTCTAATGAGGACTACGGGAGTTCAGAGCATGACAATAACATTTCATACTGAATTTTGTTTGAAAAGACTTCAGGGGATGAGGCAAGCTCTTGATCATAAAGGATAATTAGGAATAATAGTTTGTGGGTGAGAAAAAATATAAAACAAAGATGCAAGTCTCATGGAATTATAGAAAAGAAAAAGACATAAGGAAAGATAAGTTTGCTAAGACATAGGTTGCAGTATTGCTAGGTATTGTACAGAGTGCAAGATGAAGCTGCCTTTGATATATGAGGGTTGGTAATTCTATTCTTGGAATTCATTGTCAATATTCTGTAGCTGAGAAGATGTCTTTAACTTTATTTTGCCTTTTAATAAGCAACACATACATGCATTACCTCAGTAGTAAAATACTGTACTTATATATAATTTTTTTAAGAATTTTTGACAGGCAGAGTGGACAGTGAGAGAGACAGAGAGAAAGGTCTTCCTTTGCTGTTGGTTCACCCTCCAATGGCCGCCGCGGCTGGTGCGCTGCGGCCGGCACACCGCGCTGATCCGAAGGTAGGAGCCAGGTACTTATCCTGGTCTCCCATGGGGTGCAGGGCCCAAGCACCTGGGCCATCCTCCACTGCACTCCCTGGCCATAGCAGAGAGCTGGCCTGGAAGAGGGACAAATGGGACAGAATCCTGTGCCCCAACCGGGACTAGAACCCGGTGTGCCGGCGCCGCTAGGTGGAGGATTAGCCTGTTGCCATGGCGCCGGCCATAATACTGTACTTATATATAAAATGTATTTTAGGGATAGGTGTTTGGCCTAGCAGTTTAGCTAGCACTTGGGACACCCACATCCCCTGAGTGCCTGAATTTGAGTCCTGGCACTGCTTGTGAGTGTAAACCCCTGCTAATATGCACCCCAGGCAGCAGCAGGTGATGGTTCGAATACTTGATTCTCTGCCATTTATATGGGAGACTCAAATTGGATTTCTGGTTTTTGGCTTTGGCCTGGCTCAGCCTGAGCTGTTGTGGGTATTTGGGGAATGAATCAGAAAATGAGAACTCTGTGCCTCTACCTCTCCAAATAAATATGTAATTTAAAACAAAGAAAGCATACCTTAAATATTTAATCACATCATATGGAAATGTTAAGTTTGATGTTAATGACAAAGTGTTGTAGTTAAAACCTATTTATGTTGAGATGCTTTGGGCATTTTAAACCTTAAGTTTGTAAAGAGGAAGTGTGATGATGTGTGAACAGAATGAATGAGACCTGAGGATTTAACACTTAATTCTTCAAATAACATATGAAACCCATTAAATAACATTTGCTATATTTTAATTTTAAAGTTAGACTGATTAAATCGATTAGACTAGATTTTAAGTTATTATGTGCATCCACATAATAGTTCACCTATCCTTATTTACCATGAGTATAGAGCTATGATTCTGAGTTTATGGAAAACTTTCCAGATTTATAGCAAAATCTTAAAGATACATTATTTTTCAGTAAATAAACTGTACCAAATATAGAAGCAAAGCTGTATATATGCTAAATGTATGTTTCTTTGTGCATGTATGCTTGTGATTTATTTTGGACACAAAGCTGTTAAAATGTATTTCTTCATTACAAGAGAACGAGGGGCAGCATCTGCATTGACTTTGAACCTATCTATCTGATATGACACCCCAGAAGTATGTTACGGTGACAGTAAAGTAATTGTACACATATTAGATATGACTTTCAATAACCAAATGGAATTACTTTCAGATTAGTTGAATTAAAAGACTTTCTCACATATATTTTGTTGACAGTGAATAGATAAGAGTTATTATAAAAGTGAAAGCCTATTAAATCACCAATTTCATATTCATGTAAGAATAGAATGATTTCCAACATAGAGCACAAAACAGCCTTTATATTAATTAGTCTCTTTTGAGCTTGGTTTTGCACTGTGTGTCACAGGTATATCATTTGATAATATAATCTTGCCTGCTGTATGACTGACAGCTCTTGCATGATTTCCCAATTGGATAGTGACAAAATCTGTTTGCTTTATATTGAGGATATACGTTGCTATCAGCAATATTATCTCCACTATACAAGAGTGTCAGTTAACAGTGAAACATGAAGTCTGTGGTGGGAGAGCAGTCAGAAAAGATGGGGAGATTGAGGACAAAGTACTATAACAAAAGTAACATGTCTTACTATGAAGCTTAAACAAAATGTAAAGCTGATTATCTTACACTACAATTTATATAGTACCAAAGTATTTATTATCTGTCTTATTTTAAACAGCCATATTGTATTTTAAGCTATTTCCATTGTGGAATAAATTACAAAAAAAGAAAAATAAGATGGTGATTGGAAATATGTACTAGTGTCCTTGGTGTGATAATAAAATGTGATAAAAAGATTTCTGCTTGGATTACTGACATATGAAGTTGTTTCCCTAAATTTCTGGTCCTGTGCCTTGATATGTGACATTTGTTTTGCATTCTTTCCATTGCATTAAGAATTTTAACATTTTAATTAAACTGATGAAAATTTTAGAGAACCAAATGATGTTTTGATTCTAAATAAAATACAAATCAAGTCCTCTGCCCATTTCTTAATTGCATTGTTTTGTTGTTGTCCAGTTTCTTGAGCTCTTTGTGGATTCTGTTTATTAATTCTTCATCAATTGCATGGTTTGCAAATATTTTCTCCTGTTCTGTCGGTTGCCTCTTCACTTTGTTGAATCTTTCCTGTGCAGTATAGAAGCTTCTTAGCTTGATGTTATCTCATTTGTCTAGTTTTCTTTGATTGCCTGTGCTTCTGGGGCTTTTCCAAATAGTCTTTGCCTATGCCAATGTCTTGCAGAGTTTTCCTTTTGTTGTCCTCTAGTAATCTGATGTAATCAGGTTGTAAATTTAGCTCCTTGATTCATTTTGAGTTGATAAAAAGTGAAAGGTGAGGGTCTTGTTTCATAACTCTGAACTTAGGGATTCAATTTTCCTGACACTATTTGTTGAAGTGACTGTCCTTTATCCAGGAATTGATTTTAGCTGCTCTAATCTGTCAAAGATTAGTTTGTTGTAGATGCATGGATTGATTTCTTGGGATTCTGTTCTATTCCATTCCATTGGTCTACATGTCTTATTTTTGTTTTGGTATAAGACTGTTTTCATTATAACTACTCTATAGTATGTCTTTTTTATTTTAAGATTTATTCATGTATTTGAAAGTCACAGTTACACAGAGAGAGAAGAGGCAGAGAGGGAGAGGGAGAGGGAGAGTGGTGTCTTCTCACTATTCAGTTGGTCACAACAGCTAGAGCTGAGCCGATCTGGAGCCAGGAGATTCTGCTGGGTTTCCCATGAAGATATAGGGACCCAAGGACTTGGGCCATCTTGTACTGCTTGCCCAAGCCATAACAGAGAGCTGGATGCTGGATCAGAAAAGGAATAGCCAGGACTGGAACTGGTGCCCATATGGGATGTATGGGATGCCAGCACTGCAGGTTGTGGCTTCACCCACTTCACCACAGCACCAGGCCCTGTAGTATGTATTTTTTTTTTATTATTTTTTTATTTTTTGACAGGTAGAGTGGACAGTGAGAGAGACAGAGAGAAAGATCTTCCTTTGCCGTTGGTTTACCCTCCAATGGCCGCCACGGCTGGTGCACTGCGGCCGGCGCACCGCGCTGATCCGATGGCAGGAGGCAGGTACTTATCCTGTTCTCCCATGGGGTGTAGGGCCCAAGC